GAATTCATTCATCTGAAATATTTAGAGATGAATGGTAAGAATTCATTCATTTGAAAAATTTAGAGAATTTTTACATTCATTTCCCTACCGAGCTCACTACTTATTTTATGAAATCTCAATACTATATATCAATACATAAACCAAGTCCTTAAAGCCTTCCCCTCTATTCAAACAGTCCCTATAGTTAACTCATGAGGGAATTCAATCCATTTGAGCATCTCAAATAAAATCCTGGACATTTTTTCGAACTAACTATAGGAAGAGATGTTAATCTATTGTGCATCCTACCCCCAAACCCGCAATCAACCAATCACAAAGTGTCCTCCCTCGTGACCAATTCAAGAATTTAGCAGGATATGTTGTACTAACTCTGAAAACGCCTTCCAGAATGATTACTTAGAAGTAAAAAGGATGGTAATTAAGAAATTATTGTGTGCAAAACGTGAAAGACATTGCTCAATACACAAACCTCTCATTCAATACAATGTTTCAGTAACATTTTAACAAACCCATTATAAGCATGACAATAAAATTATTGATATGATTCAGAGTTTGAGACTTGTATGGTGAACATTACGCATTCATAATAATCAAACAATACATTATTAAACAAAAATGCAGGACTACATAACATTTTAACCCCAAATTTATACGTAGTATTAACAAAAGGATTGACAATAAAAGGAGATGAAACAAAAAAAAAATAGAAATAACAAAAAAAAATTAACCGGGGACAAGAAAGATGATGGGGCAGCCCGGCCCGGGTAGACAGCCAATTGAGCAGGATAGCTATGTCTTGGAAGGCCTCCTCTCGAAGGATAAGGAAGTGGATAATACTCAGGTAGAGGCGTAGAGCCAAGAAAAAGCGGGGTTATTGAACAGGTCAGCGAGGGCCGAGGAAGGGTCTCAAGCAAGCATAGATAGGGATGAAGCGAACCCAAAAAACTTATAAGTGGCGGTGGTGTCTGGAAAGTACCGCCACAGCGCCACTAATCAATGACTTTTATGGCTTACGAAAAGAACCTTTGATGGGGGCTAGTCAAACCGCTATCTCCTTGCCAGTGGCGGGAAAAACTCGATATTGTCGTTTCTCTTTTTCTTTAGTCTCTCTGAACTATTTTATGTTTTATGCTTTCCCTTCAAGTAGCAGGTGCAAATTAGTTGTGAATAGAGTCTACTTTATTGTGGGGTTAACGAGTTGGGCCGCTTTCAAGTGTGACTCCAACTCCGAGTCTTACTCCAGTGTAGTCTTGATATGACGAATTTGTATCTGTGTTTGATCTCTTTTAATAATATTTAAGTTGCCTTTTGCAAAAAAAAAAAACATTACTCTCTCCGTCCCCCTAATTTTGTCCCGTTTTACCTTTTTCGTCCGTCTCATTAAGTTTCTCTCATACCATATTTGATAATATTTGGATGGTTACAATTCATTCTTACTTTATTCACACTTTATCAATTCAATACCGATCACACAATTCTACTTTTTCTTAAAAGTTGTGTCACACTCCTTTGTCCCAAACATAGTGGGACGGAGGTAGTACCTTTTTAATTGATGTTAACCTGTCGGCCTTCCCAATGGGCTTGATGGAGAGTTTTGTGTTGCTCTTCACAATAGAACTTAAAACTTATGAAAATGAAGAATACAAAGAAGAAATAGTTGATGCGACTTCAAAGTATGAAGGGAACAGTTTTTCAAAAATATTACGAGTACTACAACCAAACATTTTATATGATGTGACTAATAGTTATTACTCCCCACATCCCTAATAAAATTGCAATAGTACATTAATGATTAAGATGGTGAGTATTGTGTAGTGGAAAATTATGAAAAAGAGAAAAAAATGTGTAACAAATGTTGTGAACAACAATTTTTTTACTAAAAAGAGAATGTCAAAGTTTAATTGAGATGGACGAAAGATTAAATTTGAAAATCTATTTAGAGAGACGGAGGGAGTACACTATAGTGTCATGGTCAATAAAATTTTAAAATTGAATATAAATTACTCTGGAGTATAATTTAATCATAACTATAGCCATTAGTTACATTTTTGTTAATAATATTTTTTTTATTAATAACTATATAATTATTTTTAAAAAAAGTTCAGATGATAAAACAAATTTTATTGTTAAATAAAATTCTAATTAAGGGCTTTTATGCAATTTTTAATACGAAAGTACTTCGTATATAATAGGATATACTAAGTAAAGCCAATTAGGTTAAGCCACACATTTTAAGGTACCAAAACTCTCTGTAATTGTGAAGAGGCGAAGGCTTCCTGCAAAACCAGATAAATTAGGGAGAGATTTGTTGCGGCTTCGGGAAGGAGTATGAAGCCGGCGGAGATGAGTAGCGGCATCCCCTTCCTTTCAATAGACATCATATCGAACGTTCTCCAGCAGCTTCCGGTGAAATCCCTATTGCGATTCCAAACTGTGTGCAAACTTTGGAAGAATATCATCAAGAGCCCGTCTTTCATAGCCAGCCATCTCGAGCACTCCATCCGAGAAAACCCCTCTCTTATTATCGTACGGCACTTCTACCGCAATAACTCCTTTCATCTATATTGTCTGGATCGGGACATGAAACTCAGCCGTGTTCCGAAGGATCCTTTGATCGATTCCTTCAAGTCCGCCTGGATATTCCGCTCCTATAATGGCGTGCTCTGTGTTCAAGTCGATCTTCTTCCTGGTACTTTACCGTCTCTTTACTTGTGGAATCCTGCGACTAGAGAGGTTATGCAGGTGCCTAGAATCAGAACAATCATGAATTCATGTTGGATATGTAGTTTGGGATTTGCAGCCAGTCCAACTGTTAACGATTTGAAAATTGTCTTAGTCATAAGCATTTCGACGCGGGGTGATGTGTCTAATGTAGTTGAAGTTTATTCACTCAGCACAAATTCATGGAAGAAAATACACATGGCTAGCTTGAAGGACATGGACTTTCGCCCTCATTGTATTACTTCTAAGGGGGCTATCTTTTGGTTTGCAACAATGGGAGGTTTGACATCTCATGGCGGAGATCATACTAATGTCATAGTTTCGTTTGATTTAGAAATGGATGAGTTTCGATTGGTAACACCGCCTCCTTCATCCAGGAACAAAATTGCTAATCTGACTTTGTATGAGAACAGGCTTGCAGTATTTCATTACTCTAACCCTTCAAACACAGGAAATACTCCGGAGGAATTGTGGGTGGTTGAGGAAGGCATTGGTGGTTCCTGGAGTAAGGTATTGACTTTTGGTCCTTATCCCTACTATGTATTACCGTTGACCATTTGGAGGAACAAAATATTCTTCAATGTTTTTCCTGAATATTCAGTAGAGGGGAACAATGAGATTGATGATGCTGGTAGTTTTTTGTTTGATCTCACTTCTAATGAAGTCAAGGTCTGTTCTTCGAGCAGATATGGCATTTATAGTGTTCAAAGATATGTTGAAAGCCTTGTACTTCTTCGCAACTTCCACAAAGGAAAGCAGTGATTTTAAAGCGTAGTAATTATTGAATAATTATAACGCATTGTAGATTTACTGATTGTATTGGCTCTTCGTAGACGATGATAAATTAATTTTTTGTTTGTAGTTGTATAACATTTCAAACGCCATTTAAAGAAACAAATGCATTTTTAAAAAAATTATTATTTGTTTCTTGTATGTGATTACATTTGCATAGTGTTTTACATGTTTTGAAATACTGCATGTGTTATTGGTCTATGCAAATGTACTGTTTTCCATTTTTGGTTCTAGCAAAATTGTTTTTTGTTTGTTTTCTCTTACATTTATGTAATCTGTCAATCTGTGTTGTTTTTGTTTTAAATCTCTCGCCAACCCTAGAACTTCAGTATTAGAACGAAACATATTCTTGTCTTGTTTTTTCTAGTCATTCAAAAACTACGTTATTTATTTATTTCAAAGGAGCCACGGAGATGATTATTATCACTTTATTTTAAGTTTGTTAGTAGTCTCACTTATCATCAATCATCTCAACTACTGAACTACTCCAACAGTGATATGAAGCGGGAAGAGCATGGGGCGGGATGGGCTTGAGCCCACCTCCGTGGGCTGGTTGCGGGCTGTTTAATTAATATTTATTATTCCTTTTATTTTGTTTCCTAATTTAATTTGTTTCCTAATAGGATTTATTTAGGATTTCTATTCTTATTAGAATTAGAGGTTTCCTATTTCTATTTAGTTTCCTAGAATGATTTAATTAGGAGTTCTATTAGAACTGGAGGTTTCCTATTCCATTTAGTTTCCTAGAATAATTTAATTAGGATTCCTATTCTTATTAGACCTAGAAGGTTATTTAGAGCATCTCTAATGCTATAATGTGCACGGTGCACATGTGGCATGAGAAATAATCATTTAAATATTATTAAATAATTTACCACTCTTCTTATTTGAATGATTGTATACAATTTTGATAACTTTTTCTTGACAATGTCAACCACAATGTCTACATCTAGACGGTCTCCTTGACATTGCAGAGAAAAACTTACCAAAATTGTATTAATTCATTCAAATAAGGAGAGAGATAATTTATTTACTCATATTTATGTGGCTATCTCACATGCCACATGTGCACCGTGCACATTGTAGCATTGAAGATGCTCTTATACCCCTTGTATGCTTCATTCTTGATCATCTTGGAATAAAAGTTGGTTTAGCCTTTTGGCTCTGGGCAACGGTATTTATTTATCGTTGATTATCTGGGCAACGGTTCACCCCGTTGATTTTATTTTTCTGTTACTATCAAACAGACAAATACCTTCTCTACTCATCCCTTTTGACGGCATTTATATTTATATTTGCTCGATAGGGATATCCTGTGGTTATATTTATATTTATATAACAAGTCAACCAGGCTCAAATGGACCTTCTATTGGTTCTATCCTGTGCGGCAAGATCGTGAGATCCAGGCATCCAACAACTGCTTGTTTTGTGCTCAAATCCATCCTGATTTGAGAGGTTATAGAGATTCCTGGAAGTAGAACAATCAACGATCATAGTTTCTTTTTCTTTTTTTTTGAGAGGAAAACGATCAACTATCATTAATGGAATCCATGCTCAGTACATGTGATATACAACTAGGAGGAAAATCATCCCAAAAAACACAATCAGACATAGAACAAGCCGTCCGGGCTAACCCGTGGGCCGCCCTGTTCGCTGATCGTCTAATATAAGAAAAAGAGATATCAGAAAATAATAATCTAATATCACCAACAATAACTCCAAGTGAGGACACACTCGAACTTTGAATGATTTCCTTGATAGCTCCTAAAGAATCTGACTCCACATCCACCGAATCCCACCCCTTACCTTTAATCCAACTCAAGGCTTCCCGAATAGCCAGCAATTCAGATTCCAAAGGAGATAACCGTCCCTGCCAAATTTTGCCAAATCCGGCTACAAACTCCCCAGCATCATTTCTAACTAAACCCCCCAAGCCGCATCTATTACTCCTGACCGCTGCATCAATGTTTAACTTCAACCTGCCCTGAGGAGGTTTTCTCCAATCTGCAGCAACACCTCCTGGAGATGAGCTTCTCCCCAAGCTAGGTTTTTGTGCCAAAATCCACCCCTCCACAAAGACCCTAGCCTTCACCAGTATTGATTTGCTTTCAACCTCAACTCCTTCCCATACCCTTTTGTTCCTCTCACACCATAATCCCCAACACCCCCAGATCATTTTACACAGCCCGTCCTCCTTCTTCACTGTGAATTCCCGCTGCACTTGCTCCAGAAAAGATCCCTCAGTAGAAGCCGACCAGCTCCAGTCAACAGCTGCCCAGGCTTCCTTTGAGACCCGACAAGAGATAAAAAGATGTTGCAGAGACTCCTCTTCTTCCCCACACAGCCCGCACACACTCGAGCAATTAACTTTCCTGGACTTCAAATTGATTTTCGTTGGTAACAGACCGCTGCACACCTGCCAGAAGAAATGTTTGATTTTCGGAGGTAGCTTCCACTTCCACATCGTTGTCCAGACGGTCCACCCAACACCCTCAACGATCATAGTTTCTATAGTAACGGTTTGGATAGTGATAACCAATGGGATGATGGATGATGTGGTTATTAGAGTTGAAGTCTATTCATTAACCATGCATTCATGGAAGGACATAGAATAGCACAACTTTGAGGATATCTGCTTCCTCAGTTACAACCTCATTGCTAAAGGGGTTATCTTTTTGTTTGCAAGAAAGATGAGTTTGGCAATGGATGGGAAATATTAGGTGTGTGAAATATGACTAACAAGAAAATAAAGATAAATTACCACAATATTATAAAACAGTATAAATGCTAACAACCACCATGGCACCACCTCCTTCATCCAGGAACACAGTTGTTAAGGTGATAGTTTATGAGAACGGATTTGCGCTACTTTATTACTCTAGCTCCAGACCAAACTCATTATGTAATTCAATGATTTGTGGGTGATTAAGGAAAGCATGTGTGCCTCTTGGAGTAAGAAGTTGAGTTGTAATTACCATTGTTCATACCCTATATATGCTCTGTATTGACCATTTGGGAAAAGTGGGTTGTCTATACTCTGTAGTGCTAAATGAAGAGGTGAAGAGTGATGAGATGAAAGCCGGTGTGTTTTCGTTTGGTCTTACTTCTAATTAATATAAGTTCTTTGATCTAATGATCTTAGCATATTAGTCGGTAGTTCTGAGCTTTTAAATATGTCGAAAACTTTGTGCCAGTGAATATTATCAACATCGGAAACCATTGATTCTAATGCAGAAGTATTTTGCATTTAGCATTGCAGATCTATTCAATTCATGTTTATATACTACTGGAGGCTTAGGCATCAATTTTCCCAGTTCTCTTACAAAGATTATTTAGAACTGCATCTCTGTAGACTTTTTGTTATGGGAAAGTCCAAAATAATATGTTGGTGTGATCTTATTAGAGCATGCGTTTCGCGCGCCATTGGCGCTTTGCTCTCCTCTTATTCTTCATTGGACGGTTCGGATGGATCTCCAATGATTCCTCCCAAGGACTTGCTTGCAATTGTTTTATCCCTATACTAAAGCAGATTGTTTTATGACTAAAATTTGTCCAATTCATCAAGTAAAAAATTGCTTGTTGCAACAAAACAGATAAATGCATTGTAATGGGGCCAACGTTGAACTTCGTAAAAGGCAAGGGGACACACAAGCGGTTGAGCAATATAATTGAATGCAGGTTCGGTCCTAACATTTTAAAGACCCGGGACAAATTACATAAGTGGGCCCTTGAAAGTATAAAAGCAAAAAAAATAGATCATAAACCATTACATATTTACATAAAGCACGAAACGTCATAGTTCATACAAAAAATATTACAAAAAACAATTCCGAGTCAAGCATTTTTAAGATGCAAAATCATCTATAATAGAGTCAAGGTCAATATCATCCAACATCTCCATCTCAATACATAAATGCGCACCCGAATTCTTATTAGAGGAACTAGCTATTTTAACAAACATATCCATAGCTCATTTTTTAGAATTAATTAGCTCATCAACTAGTCTACTTTTTTCCTTTTTCTCTTCTAGACAAATGTTTTTTGAAAACATTTTAGATGAAGATTGAAGCTATTTTTACCGGCACTGACTACTAACAATAAAGAAAACACAATCTGATGTCTAGAGGATGAATTGATGATAGTTGATAATGAAATAAGAAATCTAAAGCAAAAAACCTCAACTTATTGTGAAGCTAGGCACTTAAATCCCAGGCTGCCAGTAATTTGTAATCAACAACCCGTAATACAAAACGGATTTATGCTAAATATTTAAACACGTTAGAGCTGAATCTGATTATGGTCAAATGGAAATCAAAATTCACCAAAGTCAGATTAAGAACACGAAAGTGCCAATATCAAAGACCGGTCTGCAAATATAAAAGCCCCCCCCCCCCCCCCCCACAGATTCGTAGGTAGTAGATGAAGAAATTAGAAGTTGTTCTCTCCGCTTGATCTGAATGTTTCTGATCTGAATTTTTTAAGTTCTGATCTGATCTGATCTGAATTTTTCTGATCTGATCTGATCTGATCTGATCTGATCTGAATCTTTCTGATCTGATCTGAATCTTTCTGATCTGATCTGAATCTTTCTGATCTGATCTGAATCTTTCTGATCTGATCTGAATCTTTCTGATCTGATCTGAATCTTTCTGATCTTATCTGAATCTTTCTGATCTGATCTGAATGTTTCTGATCTGGTCTGATCTGATCTGAATGTTTCTGATCTGATCTGAATCCTTCTGATCTGATCTGAATCTTTCTGATCTGATCTGATTTGAATATTTCTGTTATAATTATAATTATAATTATAATTATTATAATTATAATTATAATTATAATTATTATAATTGCAATTACAAATATAATTTAAATAAAATTATAATCATAATCGTAACTATAATAATAATAATAGTAATAACAATAATAATAATAATAATAATAATTAAAATTAAATTTAAAGTGAAAAAATTTATACCTATTACACTAATTATAAATATAGATATAATTATAATTGTAATTATATTTTTAATTATAATTACTTATATAATTATAATTGTAATTATAATTACAATATTTATCTCTATAATTGTAACTATAGTTATCAATATTATTATAATTACTCCGTAAAATAATTACAATAGTAATAATAATAATATTAATAATTATAATAAAAATAATAAATATAATCATAAATTATAATTATAATATAATTATAAGTATAATTATAATTATTATAATTATAATTATAATTAATAATAATTATAATTATTATTAATTATATAATAATAATAATTATAATCAGAAATATTATAATAATAATTAATAATTATAATTAATAATAATTATAATTATATTAACATTAATTATAATATTATAATATAATAATAGTAATATAAATGCAATTAATATTATTATAACGATATTATTATATTAATATTATTATTACAATAATATAATAATAATATGATTATTATTATTATTATTATAATTAGTATTATATTATTATAATATTATATTATAATTATAATTGTAATCATAATTATAATTATGATTGTAATTATAATTATAATTATTATAATTATAACTAAATACAATTATAATTATAATTAATTATAGATATAATTATAATAATTACAATTGATTATACTTATAATTATAAGAATTTTAATTGTAATTATAATTATAATTACATATAATTATAATATAATATTATAATGATATTAATCATATTATTATTATTATATTGTAATAATAATAATAATAATAATAATAGTCTTCTTAATAATTGCATTTATATTACTATTATTATATTAAAATATTATAACTATTATTAATATCTTATTTTTTATCATATTATTATTAATATTATTAATAATAATTATATAATAATAATCATAATAGTAATAACAATATTAATAATAATAATTAATATAATAATAAAAGTGATAAATCATGTTTGAACTTTTCTGATCTGATCTGATCTGATCTGAATCTTTCTGATCTGATCTAAATCTTTCTGATCTGATCTGATTTGATCTGAATCTTTCTGATCTGATCTGATCTGATCTGAATTTTTCTGATCTGATCTGATCTGATCTGAATAAAATAAGAATAAGTAATAAGTAATAAGAATAAGATGAACACAACAGCACCTTAATCGTAGAAGAGAATGAATGGTGTTAAACTTTTCCGAGAAGATAATGATTCATGGTGTTAAACTTTTCCGAGAGATAATGATTCTCTCAATTCCCAATTAAGCGAGATGAATGGACGCCAGACAGAAATGCAAAATCAGTAAGGATTAAATGAAAGCCGAAGCCATGCCAACGATTTGCCTTCTCTGCTTTTGGAGAGAAGGCAAAAGCTGAGAAGTGCTTCAGAAAAAAGTGATTTTGAAAAGTAAAAGTTGGTAATGTTTGATAAAATAGAAAATGGAAAAATACTTTTCACACGCAAGTCGAGAAAAAGTAAAAATTGGTAGTGTTTGTTAAATACTCCCTCCGTCCCGCAAAGATGTTCCCTCTTTCCTTTTTTGGATGTCCCAAAAAGAAGTTCCCTTTCCCTTAATGGAAAGTTATCCTACATCAAAACAGTGTCAAACAGTGCAAAACAGTGTCAAACAGTGTCTAAACAGTGCCAAACAGTGTCCAAACAGTGCCAAACAGTGTCTAAATAGTAAAGTCAAATTTATTTCCTAAATATGTGTGTAAGTCAAACCGAGAACATCTTTGCGGGACGGAGGGAGTAAGTGTTTTTAAGCCAAAAGTTGAGAAGTGTTTTTTGAAGCGGTTGCAAACACTGACATAACTGGGCGAGTGGGAGTGCGTGCATGACTTCCGCAATTCCACGTTCCATTAATAATACGATCATACACACCTACAGACACATGGAGTAATAATATATTGATATTAATACGGAGTATTATATATATATATATATATAGATTTAGGTTCAAATGAGAATATCATCTAGGGAGAGAAATGAGAAACATTTTACACCGTTAGATTTATCCTCATAGATCGTCATTCGCAGGGATTAATTTGGCTTTTCAGATTATTAGCATTAAATGCATTATCTATGTACGAGATTAACTCGTTCTTATTTTTAGAAGTTTATTTATTAGTGCCTTCACAATATTATAATGAGTGGGAGACACAAACGTCCCTATAGTACATTCTTATCATCATTGTTCACTTTCTACATTTTTTAGCATCCTAATTGTGCATTATTGTTAGCTTTGTGGTTGTTAAAAATTAAATAACAAGGATTGCCTAATACGTTTTTAGTTTAGTATCACCCTTTCGTTTTATTAAAATTTGCATTAGCACAACTATATAGATAGCGTGTTGCTCATTATTAGTATTATAGGTGAATTGTAAAATTTGAAAAAATATGAGATAATAGTGCACTCTTATTCATGTTTAAATGCACATGTTAAAAGTGCATTTCATTTTGAGAAAAAGTGCTAATGTAAAATTCTATAAAGTCTAATAAACTAGTGCACCTTTGTATATACTTAAAATGCACTTGATATAATACACCCTTGTATTTTTACCACCATGATTATTTATTTTTATTTTCTAAAATCCTTTTAATTCAAAAAATGTATGGAAGTGCACAACGGAATGCGAAAAATGCAGTAAATAGTAAGTGCAAACTTATAATATAAATGTGCAGATTGCAAAAGTGCATATAAGTATAATAAAAATGTTATTTCTCTAAATTTGTTTCATTGATGAATGATGTTGATTATTTAGATTATTATGACTGCAAAATATTTAGATTGCATAAAATCTCAAATAAAAGTGCAGCTATTAGAAGTTGGAGTGCAAATGGATAAACCCAGATTTATTCCATTCCTGAAATTTTGCATCTAAAAATAAATGGATTAGACATAAAAAAAAAATGAAACGAATTTGATTTTTTTTTTCAAATTGATTATCCGAAATTTAAAATTATATGAGGAGATCGAATAAGAAAATTGGATAGAGAATTAAATATGAAGAAATCATTATAAAACAAATCTTTCTTGTTGTGTGGCGGAAGTTACTCCCGTATTAATGGCCATCCTAAAATTTAGGATTACTTTCTTATTTTGATCTATCGTGCATGATAAGTCATGGTTTGGTTTTACCATTGTGCCCTTTAATTAATATCAAGTTGAATGTTGCCTTATTTATAACTTCAATCATCCGAAAATATGACCTATAATTCAAAAGAATCCAAACCATTAGATCGAGAGAATGGAAGGTCAGATTTCATTCTTATTTCTCTCCTGGGACATCATTCTCACCTGAACTGTCCCCTATATATGGAGCGGTTCCGGTAAGAACAGATCTTAGGAGAAAAATGAGAACGAATCTGGACCGTTGGATTGTATTATGTGGAACCAAATTGTGCATTTGGTGAAACTGAAATGTGCATTAAATGATATTGAAATGTGCAAGATAAAAATTTAAACTCAAGTGTGCATTAGATAAAACTGATATGTGCGAAAAAAAAGTACAAAAATAACATCACATCGTATTTTTTTTCTGCACATTTCAGCTTCACCTAGTGCACATTTTAATTTCACGTATTGCACAATTCAACTGCACATAATGCCACTCTATCGTACCCTTTGTGATGCACATTTCAATTTCATCTAATGCACATTACAGTTTTATCTAATGCATACTAAATTTCACTTGAGGCAAATCTAACGGTCCAGATTCGTTCTCATTTTTCTCATAAGATCGTGTTCTTATTTGAACCAAAACCTATATATATATAACATAGCATATATAATTGTGGGCCCCACACTAAAGGTGGGCCCTGGGCATGTGCCCCTTGCCCATCCTCTAGAACCGGACCTGATTGAATGGATTGACTGTTGTTTCATAACAAAAAAAACATATACAATTTAGTAAGTCATTTTGTTTTATCTCATCATACTCTAAAGCCAAAAAAGTGAGTTTTTGGCTCCATTGGAAATAATGGAAAATTAACAATATCCAAAATGTTACGTAGTATTAAAATAAGAGTCCCGCTTCGTGTACACGCCGGGTTACATGCCGGGTTACATGCTGGTCAAATTGTCTGTGTACAGACAATTTGATTGGCTACACAGACAATTTGACCGGCGTTTTATGAAGAAAATTGATTTCCATACAGACAATAAAATAAAAAGTTGTCTGTATCACAGACATTTTAAGATCGAAATTTTTCATAGTGTCTGTGATACAGACAATTGTTTTTATTTTTGTTTGTATGAAAATCGGTTTTCTTCATAAAATGCCGGTCAAACTGTCTGTGTAGCTAGTCAAATTGTCTGTACGCAGACAAACAGACAATTTGACCGGCGTGTAACCCGGCGTATACAAAGGAATTTTCCTTAAAATAAACAATATCCATAATGTTCTAACAAATCATGATGAAGGCTCACTTGTCAAGTCTGTATTGGAGGATTATGAGGCGGCTACAGGGCAGGCTATTAACTACACGAAGTCCACTATTTTCTTTCGTGCAAATGTGGAGGACAAACAGCGGGATGGTTTCTAGGAAATGATGGGGGTATAATCAATGGAGACAGGAGCTAAATACTTGGATCTTCCGTGTAAGCACCTCGTAGAGTTGGAGCAGAGCACCAGGCGGATGGGTAAGCACCCTGACTTCGGTTGGATGGATGATTCGGTTGGCGTCGCGAGGAACGAGGAGTAGCGCCTGGAGGTACGGCCTTCGTTTCTCCAGAGCAAAGCAGTCCGGTGTAGATGGATGCTTCGGTTGTCGTCCGGCGTCGCTGGATGGGTTCGGCGTAGATGGTGTCGCTGCCGGTCCGAATCGTGGAGTGGGTGCGGGAGTATGGGGCGGGAATTGGGATGGATGGAAGACAAAAGAAAATAGGGTAAAAATTTGAATTGGGAAGGAGAGGAAGTGAGGTAAAAAAAATGGGAGGTATTTAAATGGGGTGCCAAGGGTGTACACAAATTGTGTACCCCTAGCATTTTTCCTGTCACTTGTAGGTAGGCGTGGACCCGGTTCGGGCCGCCTGGCCCGGGACAGGACCGGCCCGCCACTGTGCGGGCCCGGAACCGGCCCGGTTCTCGGGTCCGGGTCCGGTTCGGGCACAGACCCGGTCGGGTTAGCGGGACCGGGCTCGGGTCCTGGTTTTGGAGGCCCGGCCCGGCCGGGTCGGGCCCGGGCCCGGGCCTAACGGTCCAAAATTTAAAAAAATTTTTTTTTTTTTTTGCTTCTTTTGGCTCAACGGCCACCCCAAACGGCTATATAGCCGTTGGGTGGTACCAGGGGGGGTCAGGGGGCTTTGGGTGGGGGGTGGGGTGGGGGGTGGGGGGTGGGGAGTGGGGGTTAAAAAAAAACCTATAAATACTCCTAATTTTAAACATTTTTTCACACCTCTTCTCCAACTCTACCTAAATCCTACTCTCTACTCATCTCCAATTCTCCATATTCATCTTCTCAAATTCTCTTATTCTCCTTTATATTTTATTTTACTATTTAATACTTATACAATTATTATATCTACTTATATATTAATTATCTACTTATATATTATTATCTACATATACTATATTGCTTATATTTCTTATCTACTTAATCTCTACTTATATCTCTTAATACATACATACATACTATATCTACTTAATATATACTTTATACAATAAAGTATTAAATATACTTTATAAACTATTACTATATACTTAATACATAATAATATCTACTTCTCTACTTATATTTTATATATACTTATTTTCCAATCTCCAATTCTCCATTATACTCTAATATTTAATTCTTATACAATTATTATATCCACTTAATACATACATTTTACATCTACTTAATATATATTTTATATATTAAAGTATAAAATATAAGTGTATTACTCATCTTATAGTAGTATACTTATATATTATATAATATAAACATTATATTATATATTACTTACTATAACTAGTATTATACTAGTTAATTAGTTAATTAGCATTCTTGTTACATTTTTCATTATACTAGTTAATTAGTTCATTACCATTATTGTAACATTTTTCATTATACTAGTTAATTAGTTAATTAGCATTCTTGTTACATTTTTCATTATACTAGTTAATTAGTTCAATACCATTCTTGTTACATTTTTCATTATACTAATTAAAATACTTCACATTTTATTTAACTAGTTGTTAGTTTGTTACATTTGTCACTATACTAGTTAACTACTTAATTAGCATTGTTGTTACATTTTTACTTGTACTAGTTATTTACTTCAAAAGTTGCTATAATTTTAATTGTAGAGACACACATTAATTCTACTTTGCAAAAAATTAGTTTGAAGTATTAATTAAAATAGTTTTAATTAGTTGCATTAGTTTTGTATCCATTATTATATTTGTTGTGAATTAATATTTGTTACATTTTTTAGATGGAAGGTGGTAGATATTCGGTTGATTTGGGTAACCTCCAACGCAATCGAAGAAACGAGATTGGGAGGAAGAAATCCCGCAAAGGTAAAGAACTTGCCGGGTCTTCATCTCAAAGCCGAGATGATTTTGAAACGGGTTACCAAAGGCGAGATGGAGATGCGATGTCCGAAGAACAACTCCAACAAGAATTGGCCCGACATAATAACCGCTTTCTACAACAACAACAAATGCCGACGACCATTGACGAAGAGGAGCTTGAGGATGAAGATGCGGAGGAATTGGAACCGGAGACGGCCGAGGAGGAGGGTGCCGGCAGCCACGACGCCGACGCGCCTGCCTCATCCCAAACCGCCACCGGTAATAAAAAAAGTAAGTCTGAACTAATGAAAAATAATTTTGATAAATGGAAGGACCCACAAACCGGCTATTGGCACGCAACTTGCAAGTGGTGCAACAACAATTATAGTTTGGGAACCTCCGGCGGATACGGATCCGCCGCAAGGCATCTTAAGGCAAAGCACCCCGTGGAGTATGCAAAATTAGGCGGCGGAACGGGGAAGCAAACTCAAATATCGAGGTTTGCGAATTCTCAACCTTTTGGTAATTTCTCCTACAATGATGCACAAAATTTGACTGGTATGGCTAACTTAATTTGTGAAGAAAATTTGCCTTATTTGTTTTCTGAAAGTCTTGCTTTAAGAGATTATGCACAAGGTAGTTTAAATCCTCAATTTAGAAATTATAGTCGCAAAACTGTTAAGAAAGAAATAATAAGGCTTTATAATGCGGAAAAGGAAAGGTTACAAAATTTTTTTGCAAACTTTGATGGGCGTGTTACTATTTGTTCTGACATATGGGAGGATGATTTTCATCATTTATATTATTTGGGTCTGACTGCACATTATATTGATGAGGATTGGAATATGCATAAACGTGTTCTTGCTTTTCGTGAATTTAATGATCGTCACACCGCTGAACATATTTATATTTTGATTGAGCGTATTTTAATTGAGTATAATTTGATTGATAAGGTGTTTGCTATTGGTTTCGATAATGCTACTAATAATACTGCTGCTATACCTAGACTGCGTGAGTTGTGTGGTGCCAATTCTTTGATGGGTAGATTTTTTCATCAACGCTGTGCATGTCATGTTATAAATTTATGTGTGCAAGACGGTTTAAAAGCGTATAGAGATTCCATGGAGGTAATAAAGGGGGGGGGGGGGTTAGACGTATTTGGGGTAATGGTCAACTTAGATTAAAATGGCAAAGTTATTTGACTGAAAGAGGTGTGAGATATGTTGCTTTTCCTAAAGATTTGAGTATTCGTTGGAATAGTACTTATAAATTACTTAAAGTTGTTCTTAGATATAAAGAACATTTTCCTGCTTTTTTAAAAGAACATGATAACTATATTATAAACGCGGCTGAGATTGACACTTGCGAAAAAATTTGTAATGTTTTGATATATTTTTTTAATGCTACTGAAACTTTTAGTCATGTTTATAAACCTACCGCAAACCAATTTATTCCACAAGCTGTTAATCTCGCCGATGCTTTTAAAGAATTTCAAAATGCCGTTTTCGTTCATTATTTTTGTGATCATATGAAGGAAAAGTTTTTAAAATATTATGCGCATATTCCCCATATTTATGGTATTGCATTTATTCTCGATCCTCGTTATAGACTTGCTAATTTGGAAGATTGTTTCAACTTCTATTATCTTGCGTTTTTCGGTGAATTTCCAATGTATGACGATAACCCCATAGATCCGAAAACGGAATACAACGAGGTTAGTACTTTATTTTATGCCTTATTTAATGAATTTCGTGCACAATATAGCAACGCTCCCCCTCCCCCGTCACGAACATCTTCATATAAAGGAAAATCGATTTTTAAATCTGCATTTGGCAATCTTATGAAAAAAACTAAAACAACTCACGTCATTGAACAAAGCGCATTAAATGAGATTACTTTGTATTTAACATATGAAGTTGATTTTGAAGAAAATGATGACTTTGACGTTCTAGACTGGTGGAAGTCAAAAGAAAGAACGTTCCCGATTTTAGCACGGATGGCTAAGCAAGTACTATCAATGCCGGTTTCAACAATTGCTGTGGAACAAGAATTTAGTTCGGCCGGCAACGTCCTAACGGCATCTAGATCGAGATTGAGCGCGGAGTCTCTTGAGACGCTTATATGCTACCACGATTGGTTGAAGGCCGCACGTAGAACTCAAGAATTGAGCATCACCCCCTCCCAAGATTTTATGGATGACTCAACAACCGATGGTGGCTCTACCTATGCCAGAGATTCCGATTGATTAGTATTTTAGAATGTATTACAAAATGTATTTTATAGCACTTGTCAAATTTATTTATACTTGTACTTCATATTTCAAAATTGTAAACTTGTACTTCATATTTCAAAATTGTAAATTTGTAGTTGTAGTTCAAATTAATTTGTAAACTTGTACTTCATATTTCAAATAAATATGTGTTCACTTTTTCATATGTAGCACTTCTCAAATTAATTAATTGGTTACAATCTAACGACTTAAAATTATTTTTCTAAAATATAAAGCCGGTTTTTAAATTAAAAATACATTTAGAATATGTAATTTGTTTAAATACTTATACACCTATTTTGTAACATTTGTAAATTATAAATCAAACCACTTTTCTAAGTACAAATAGTTTTAGTTTTACACTTTTACTTAATTCATTAAATTAATTAATTTATTTTACAATATGTGTATAACTTTAAAAAAAAAATTAATTCAAACCTCCCAAACGGCTATATAGCCGTTGGGGCTATGGGTGGGGGGCAGGGGGGTCCCGGGGGTGGTGGTGTGGGGAATGGGGTTCAAAAACATCTATAAATACATCTATTTTCTAACATTTTTCTACACCTCTTCTCCAATTCTTCTCCAACTCTTCTCCATCTTCATCTTCTCTTATTATCCTACATTCCTACTTATACATATACCATTTTAAATATGGAAAGTACATCTTCCCTTATGCAAAACAATTTTGACAAGTGGAAGGACCCGAAGACCGGTCTGTGGTGGGCAACTTGCAGGTGGTGCAAGAAAGAGTGTTGCTTGGGGGGTTCATACGGATACGGGATGCCAATAAAACATATGAAGTCTTGTGACAAAGGGAAAACAACAACCAACGGTGGCGGAAATCCCAATTGATATTCATTACAAAATGTATTTCGTATTGTTATTTTTTTCTCAATTCTCAAATGTAGTTCTTATTTCAAATAAATGCACTTGAACTTTGTTTTTAATAGCAATTTGTATAATATATAATTAATAAAAAAAAATAATGGCCCGGCCCGGCCCGGCGGGTGGCCCGACCCGTGACCCGGGCGGGTGGCCCGGCCCGAACCGGAACCGGTCATTGACCGGGCCGGTCCCGGGCCTACCATTATAGGACCTGAGGCCCGACCGGGCCTTGACCCGGCCCGGGCCCGACCCGGCCCGGGTCCAACACTACTTGTAGGAGGCAAAAGGGAGATTCTTGCTTTTTTCAAGGAAAGGGTAATTAAAGGACGACACGTTTACTTCACGGGTTACTAAACGGTGCTTATTAAGACCCGCGTTAATAAGCGGCGCATAAAATAAACCATGTTGTAAGATCGTGTTTACTTCAAAGGATTTAAAAGATCGTTTAACATTGAAATGTCCAAAATAACTCTATACATATATAGACGCACAAACATTCATGAACAAAAGTATATAATATAATATGTGGGGTCACCTCGTACGTGTACTCATACCCCTAACCCCTTACCCTGCCCTATAACCCCCGCGTACCCCCACCCCTATACCCCTACCCTACACCCTACCCCCAATTTCACACCCTTGACCCCTACCCTACTTTTACCACGACAGGGGGTGGGTGGGGGTAGGATGGCGGTAGTGTGAGGTCATGATCGGGGTGAGGCCGAGGTAGGGGCATGAGGGGTAGGGTGGTAAGGGCTAGGGGTGGGGTGGGGTTAGGATTGGGTGGGGCTAAGGTAGGGGCAAATGGTAGGGAGTGGGGTAGGGTCGTGGTTAGGGGTAAGGGTGGGGATGGTGGGTAGGGTGGGGTCGATGTAAGGTAGGGTTGTAGGGATTAGGTATATGATAAGGTAGGGTAGGGTGGGGTCGGGGTAGGGTAGGGTGGGGTCAGGATCGGGGTGGGGCCGAGGTAGGAGCATGAGGTAGGGGGTAGGGTAGGGGGTGGGGTAGGGTGAGATGGTGATAGGGTGGGATCGGGATAGGGATTGGGCCGAGGTAGGGGTTAGGGTAGGGTGGGTCGGGGTGAGGTAGGGTAGGATGGCGGTAGGGTGGGGCCGAGGTAGGGGCATGTGGTAGGGGTGGGGTGGGGTCGGGGTAAGGTAGGGTAGGGGTAGATGGCGATAGGGTGGGGTCGGGATCGGGGTGGGGCCGAGGTAGGGGTAGGGTAGGGTAGGGTGGGTCGGGTGGGTCGAGGTGGTAGGGGTGGGGGGTAACTATGGATCGGGGTGGGGCCGAGGTGGGGGCATGTGGTAGGGGGTGGAGTAGGGTCGTTGTAGGGAAAAGGGGCGGGGGGTAGGGGTAAGGGGTAAGGTACGAGGATGGAGGTAGTGGGTAGGGTGGGGTCGGGGTAGTAGGGTTGGGCGGGGTGGGGTAGCGGGTAGAGGGGTAACAATAGGGTAAGGGCAAGGGGTAAATTCGGAAACTGAAAAAGCTTAAAGTGCCGCTTAATTAATACATGGGGGAGTGGTATGCTTAGTAAGCGACATTTTAAGCACCTCTTTCGGTTAGTAAGCGGCTTTTTAAGTAGTGTGCGTGTTTACTTCACCTGTCTTACTAACCTAACTGTGACTTTAGCAGCGAAGTAAACACCTCCTTAGTTGTTGGAATCATAAGTTTCTGTCCAAGGCAGGTCGTGAAGTTATCACCAAAACAGTCCTTCAAGTCATGCCTACTTATGCAATGAATGTCTTTTTATTTCCAAAGGAAATGTGTGCAGAGATTGAAAGAATAATGAATGGTTTCTGGTGGAATAATGGCAAATCAAATAGAGTAATTCGGTGGGCGAATGGGGAGAGAATGTGTGTTCGGAAGAAGTATGGAGGTATGGAGACTTATTACTAAACCAGATTCCTTGTTAGCGAAGATGTTTCGATTTTCAGTAGTCGTTCAAGGATTGGAGGAGACAATTTTACTACAGTGGATAGCCTAATTTTAAATGGTACCAAGGAATGGGATGAGGGTTTAATTTCAGAGTTTTTTAACGAGATGGACGGTGCTCTTGTACGGGATCGGATTTTTTGGCCCTGGATGAGAAGGGTAATTACACTGTTAAGAGTTGTTATCGAGCTCTTCTTGGGGATTTCCCAGTAGGCTAGGCGGTTGGGTGGGCTCGGGTGTGGAAATTGAGTATCCCTCCAAAAGTTAAGGCTTTCTTCTGACAGGCCTGGGTTTTCTACTCACATCAGATAAGCTCACTATTCGGCGAATTGCTTGTTCGCAATTGTGCCCTATGTGTTCCTTGGAGGATGAAAATGCATTGCATTTATTTGGGCAATGTCGCAGGGCTGAGCAGGTATGGGGGTTAATGCGACTCTGCATTCCGGTCGTTACTGGGTAGAGTTTCACTGACTGGGTGGATATAAATTTTCAACATAGGGAGGAAGAGAGTTGATGTGTTTTTGTCATTATAGAGTATATGGCACGCCAGGAAGGATGTTGTAGCAAGGAGTATTACCATAGAAGCAATGACTTTTCTGGAGGGGTGGCGCAGAGTTCAAGAGGGGGCTGGTAAGGCCAGACAATTGTATAGTAACTTGGCGAGCTGGAGACTCCGGAGGAGGGCAGATTAAAATTTGAACACGGATGCTGCTATTATTTCTAGCCAAAGATGTGGCTTGGGCTGGGTGGTTCGGAATAGTGCTAGCAATTTTGTAGCAGGTGGGACTAATAGACTGATCGGCTGTTGTAATCCAAAGGTGGCCGAGGCTCTGTCCATGAGAGAGGCGCTGAGTTGGCTCAAGAATGTAGGCTGGGAAGCCTGGGATAATATCGATGGTGAGTCAGATGCTCTTCGGTGGGTCTTCTTATTGATGACATAAGAGATATTCCATCTAGTTAGTCATGGACCCGGGCCGGGCCGGTTCCGGGCCGGGCCCGGCCGGGCTTTTTTTTTTGGGAAGGAAGGCCCGGGACCGGCCCGGGTAGCCACCGGGTCCGGTCCGGGTCCGGTCTGGGTCCGGGCCGGGCCTCCGGTTCGGTTATAATTTTTTTTTTTTTTTTTTTGCTTTCCTAACCCCCCCACTCACCCCCCCCCCCACCCCCCCCCCCCCCCAAACCCCCAAACCCCTCCTAACCATCAAGCCCAACCCAACTAACCCCAAAAAATGAAAAAAAAAATAAAAAAAATCAATTCGGCCCGGGGCCCGACCCGGCCGGGCCGGTTCACCAAATACTAGGCCCGAGCCCGGACCCGCCCTCCCCACCGGGCCTAGGCCCGACCCGGACCCGGACCCGAGAACCGGGCCGGTTCCGGGCCCGCACAGTGGCGGGCTGGGCCGGTCCCGGGATGGGCGGCCCGAACCGGGTCCATGCCTACATCTAGTTTTGCTAGTATTTCATTTTCTCATGTGAGGCGGTCTGCGAATCGGGTGGCCCATGATCTTGCTAGGGCTGTTGTTCCTATGCCTGATCGTTGTGTTTGGCTTTTTAATTTTCCATCTTGTATTACTGCTTCCTTGAACCATGACATGATTAATAATAATTAACTAGTGTCTGTTCAAAAAAAAATTAGAGCATATCGCCTACAAACCATATTGGTTTCTTTCTAAAAGGATATTGCATTAAACTAAGAGTTAATGAGAGATAAAATAGAAAATAACATACACACACACATATATCGAAAAAACAAAAAATAATGTCTAAGGATGTGTTTAATTGGACTAAAATTTTCTGATTTGGTATTGTTTGTTCTGATTTGAACTGGTCTGACCTAATAGATGTCTGGTCTTTGTATATTTTATAACTGTCCAAGTCTAGTTTGCGGCGTCAATAGGCAAAGTCAACGTTGGTCAAGTCGGTTTTTTTTATATATTTTATAAATGGTGTTCAATATTTAATCTTTAATTGATGGCATTGGTCTTCCCGATTTACAAGTTCTACTAAAATTCTTCCCCAATCTTACAAAAAGTCAATACATTGTACCTTTACAGCAAAACATTCTTCCCCAATCTAACTCTGTTATGAAATGATACAAATTACAAAGTTCATCCAGTTTTGTTAAGACCGTGGAAGAACCGGTGTTTTCTACTCCTGGAATGTCGTTGTGAGGCTCTTGACATAACATAGGGAGCAAATTGTACCTGTGAATCATCCTTTGTGTTTCAGAAAATGGCTGATTATGCAGACCAATAAAGCAAAAGATGAATAAAAATAATTCATTATTCACTAATATTGCTTTGTTATTGTTGTTGTTTTCATTACATGCAATGTTTTGTTTGTTGATACTAGTATAATTTATGACGGGAGAGGGTGGAGTGTGCACAATAATTAGTGAGTGCTCAAGTAAAATAAAGTAAAATACCACGCAGTTGGTCCGTATGCCATAATCCTGAAGTTTAGCCCCATCATCGAGAAGCTTGTCATTATTATATGATAAGCAAAAATTGTCCCAGACATGTTTCCTGTATGTGAAGAACAGCAAATCTCTATTATGTAAAAGGCCATATACTTATGAAGGGTTAATGAATGTGATCATCAATTGAAAAATAAGGTAGTTGCTGAATCCACAAGAGAAAACGTCAAGAGAAAAGGCACTTCTATAAACAATGACAATAGGGGTTCTTTTGGAACCTGGAATATCATCATCATCATCGTCGTCATCAAGACCTTAAACCCAACTAATTAGGGTTGGTGGCATTATGTTTAGTGCTAATTAATTGTATATAATCTTAAGACTGTATATTCATGCAAAAAATGCATGAGAAGAAAATTAAAAGCAAACAAAATATGTCAATACAAAAAATGGTTCAAAATCATTTTCTCGTTTTGGATATTTGTTCAGACAATTTCTTTTTATATTTCTTTTATATAAAAACTGATATAATTCGCAAGTTTAAAAAGTTTTCAAAGTTGCGAAAACAACCAAAATGGTTTAAGTTGTTCAAACCTAGAAGTTATGCCCAGATACAAAAATATACAGCTTTTTAGGATTACTTTGTCTTACAAGAAATAAGCTAGAGGCAGGAAATGATGAGCCCGTTTGGTAGCACGAAAATCGGCTGTTTTGGCTGATTCTGCTGAAATTTATGAAGTTCTGGCTGAAGTGGTTGTATTGGCTGATTCTGCTGATTTAAGAAAAATTTATTTTTAAAATATATTAATTAATAAAATAAAGAAAACTTAATATATAAAAATAGCTAAAATGATCAACGGTAACTTCAGCCAATACAACCAGAAAAGTAACTTCAGCCAATACAACCAGAAAAGTAACTTCAACCTTACTTTTTGTGCTTATTACACAATTCAGCGTGCGAAAGTAAAAATTATGTGTTTGGTGAAAAAGTTGGTTGATAAGCCTGATAAGCTGAAAACCAGTGATACCAAACGGCCTCGATGTGATCTTACAATACAAATTCTAAACTACATACCAAGAAATGTGGCGATGACCCATGTTGGAATCCTCCATCTCTTCAATCTTCTTTCTAACTGCTTGTTTCAAGTCCTTAACTGTTGCAGAGTTCAGGACAGCAACATCTACGAAAAACCACACAAGAAACTATTCATAACCCTATTATTTGCATTCAATGCATATCAACATATCACTGGATAGAGATGGACAATGGAGTAATCTCATTTACCAACAGAGGTGTTGTCCAATTTAAGGATGGTAATCCGCATGGCACTGCCAAGTTCCAAGCTTATGAGGGTATCTACATCAGAGAATGATGGGTTTTTTGGCACATCAGCTAGTATTGGATCATTAAGGAGAGCACCCAGTGTTAAATGCAGCCTTGCCTTCTTCACAGTGCTACTTTGATACTCAGGTGCATTACTAGTGTTCTTTCTCTCTGTATCATCTGATTATTATTTTTAAAGCACAAAATTATGTATTGTTTACAATTTTATACGTGCTTATATGTATGTCTTAGTGTTTAGATGTACATATATGTGCACACATGATGCAAGATTATCTTCAAAGGAAACTATCGTTTTTTAACCCCATATCCCCACTCACATATCTTTCTCACTTTTGTACAAACTCTCAAGTCCCAACTGAACTATCAGATTCATAGTGCTAATGTAAACACTAAGACAAGACAATGTACATCCACACAAATGCAAATGTAAGTACCACGTTAATTCTCTAGGGGTTTGTTGGGATGAAGGTTTATGGAGGCTTAGTCAACCTTTTAATAAGCAGAATATTCTGATAACAAATTTTTCTAAGAAATATTTCTGGAGGTTTGTTAGGATTGAAGGAGAATATTTCAAGGAGTTGAGGGGTGTATATGCAAATCTTCCGATTCATGGGCCTGATTGCAAAATCGCGAATAGCTCGAGAGCTTATTTGCCCCTTTTCTCTTCAACTAAATAGCCTAGAATATTTTGATTTTGCAATCAGGCCCACTTAGTTCATCTTTTAATTTTTTTATTAAATCCCAAACGTACATATGAAGATATAATGCCATGTCCTCCAAATCCTCAAAAAACAAAAACCCTTCAATCCAGTAATCTAAACAAATTTTCAGTCTATATCTGAATAAATATAATCCTTAAAAACGAATAAAGATGATTGAAATTTAATATGATCACCTATTATATTAAGATTTAAGATTTTATGAAATCTTAAATACTATATATCAAGATTCAAGATATAGATGTAAGCCTCCAACGCCTTCCCCTCCATCTAAACAATCCCTATGTTTAATTCATGGAGGAACTTGATGCATTTGAACATCTAACATAAAACCCTGGACATTTTTTAAAAACAACTACAGAAACAAATGCCCCTAATCTATTGTGAATCCTACCCCCAACCCCGCAATCACACACAACAAACAATTACCTTTGCTTTCTTTAATCTCTGCAGAGAGGTCCAATGAAGAGACCTGCAACATACAAGAACATTTTAAAGAGAAAGTGACTTCAGCCAGGCACCAAACGGATTAACAACTAACAACAAGAACAAAACAAAGATAGTTTTGTAACCAATAATTATGCTACTGATATTTAAAAAATAGGATATCGTTATAAAGAATCAAAGGTGGCACCATCATATAACATAGGAACAACATACAATAAAATATCCAATTAAAATATCGATTAGAAGTTAGAACCACCCAAATGAACCAGCCAGAATTTGGCATCATAAATATCATATCACACTGATATCACATACAAAGTATAAATTTTTAAAGTAAAAGGCCCAAAACACAGAAAAAGAGAGTTTTCGCGAGTCCGTGGCCATTAGTACGCAATTGGCAATACACTTGGCATTGACTATTAGACTGTGGCTACTGCAATAGTCATTAGAACATATTCAAAATTTTAAATTCCATCAGCATTGTTATTGATGGGAGTACAGGTGACAACAATAAAACAAGCAAGAGAAAAAAAAGACTAGATTATTTAAAGGGAAAGGGGGCAAAAATGACCCTAGTGTTTTACTTTAGATGGAAATATGACCCTAAACTATTTTTGGGGTGATATAGGTCCAAAAATTACGTTTTTTGATAATTGAGGCCCCTCCACTAACGGGAGTATTAACTCTGGGCACTTCACTAACGGAAGAGTCCCTTCAAAAAAAACGGAAGAGTCTAATACATCATTTCTTATGTCCAGGAGCATTTCATTTGAAAAAAATTAGACTCATTTATCTAATTTATTTAAAATAAAATAAGCCCATACAAAAAAAACAAGGAAAGAAAGACTGAAATATATAAAGTATTAAATGCAGTTTATAATACAAAAAAGCTGCCCATTAAAATCCAACAAAAAAACTAGCACATATAATTTCTACGATCCACGTATATTTCTAATGTATTTCAAGATTCTTCTAAGCGGGACATCATTATGGATCAGAAACAAACCCGTGTCAACCCCCTTTCCAGGCTGTAGCACAAAAAACATTCCTTATGTTTTGAAGTTTTAAATCAATCTCATACTTCTTCTTTATGCTCTCATAGTTAAGAAAATCAACATCAGAATTTGTTATAACATCAGCTTCATCATTTTGATATTCCAAATGTATATTATAAACCCATGAACCACCATGGTGAAACTTAAGATTGCAAATATTATTCATCCTACACACAAATAACATACGATTTTTTTATAAGAACAATACCAAAAATCACATATTTCAAATTGATGAAACGTATTCGGTTCACAAAAATTAGCTTTAACAACGGATGAAACAAAATCCCTAGGACACTCTACAAAATCTTTTTTTATAAACCCAGCTTTGTTCAAAATTAATGTTCTCCCTTGAGATTACAAACTTACTTAATCGAAAACACAAAGGGTATGGATTCATTTCAACTACAAATCAATTTAAATTCTACTACATTCATCCTGAATTATAAGACACTTTACGGTTTACGATGTTTGACCGACGATAAAGCAAATTGATCCCTGTCAACACTCAAATTAGTTTTAGAAAATAAAATTTACATATTCAGAAACTACATTAAAACCACTACAAAGCCTGTAAGGAATAATTCAAATTTCATAAAATTTTGATATATAAAATAAGAGATTAAGAGTGATTTGTGTTGACCAAGTGAATAGAAAAAGTATCTTATAAAATGGGACAGAGAGAGTATAATAAATCATCCAAAATTCCAGATTTAAGAAGAAAATACAAAAATGAAATAGAAACTATATTGCACCTCTTACCTTTCGTGTACGGTCAAAAAGATTTGTGCGGAAGGCACTCTAAATCTTCAAAGTTTAACACTGCATCTAAGAAGAAAAACAAAAGGGTCTAAACCCCTGCCCACTATCGAAAATACAGTAGGTCTTTGAGCTTCTTTTAGGTTTAGTCTAAAGATGCTGCTCAATTTTAATTATGGAGTACTTCGTATGCTGTAGGCTTATTTTGTAGGCCTTTGCGTTAAAAGAAACGGCACCGTGAGGGGAGGGGCCTCAATTATCAAAAAATGTAATTTTTGAACCTATTTCACCCCAAAAATAGTTTAGGGTCATATTTCCACCTAAAGTAAAACATTAGGGTCATTTTTGCCCCTTTTCCCTTATTTAAAAAACTTCAAGCCGAATATAATTATCATCAAGTCATCAATTACTGCAAGAAGAATGAAATTAAAAGCATAATAAATTACAAAATTATTTTTGTACAAACTGCAATGAATGGCCAGTGAGCCAGTTTGTATATTACTACGTATTTTTTTTAATGAAATTCTCCAAATGGTTGCATTTAACAATTCAGCTTACAGTTTCCTTAGAGTTGATGGGTATACTATTTATCTTCCTTGTAGCAATCAAGCCAAAATAACCTGGGTTGTTTTTGTTGGTTGTTTGAACTTTGAAGATTCAATTAAATAGCCTAGAATGATTAGTGTGTGGGCTTTAGTGATTTATCAACATTTTGTGAAAAGACTCGAAAAACCGAACCAGAAGTACTTTCGATGCCTATTCATTACTCATTATAATCCTAAGATTTGAAATTTGCATAAACGTTTTCAGCCAATACTAGTAAAAGATGTGTTTTATTCACACTATAAATATGAAACCACTCAAGAAATCAACACCTGAATGATATATCTGCCAATTAATAATGCCAAAAATAGGTTCATCTCTACGAATAAAGGCGCAAATCTAAGCATATTGGCATATGGATGTTAGCAAGAGATTTGATACCTCCATATTAAGGGTTTGTGACTGCTTCTCTCTATGATGTGGTTGATACAAGTTGGTTCATCTCCAAAAAATCCTGGCTTGATGCACGAAGCGGCGCTGGTGGAGTACCTTCGATCGACGGCGGGACTCTGGCGGCGGAAGTTCAGGCGGGGTGGCGACCAAAGGCAGAGTTCCGGCGGCAATCTAGTCTCTAGTGGTTGGCCCAACCGGTATTCCTAGTTCCTACCCAAGCATGAGTATGACCCCATTTACGAAATTTTAAACATTCACTTTTATTTCTGCATTTCTTTTGTTCCAATTGAGGGAATAATCTCTAATTTTTTTTAAATGAATAATCTCTAATTAAAATTCATGAATAAATAAACTATTTTGAAAATTTGTTTCATTGAATTGTAAAAAGCAAACTGGAATACAATAACTTTGATACTCAAAATCAGTGTTCTAGAACTCGCTAGGCACTAGTCGGGCGGCGGAGCACCGCCTAGCGCCTAGGGCGCCTAGGCGCCGACTAGGCGCCGATTAGTCGGCAGCCAAGTATTATGCTGTAATTTAATAATTCCAAGTAACATTGGCAATACAAATGAAAAACTAAACATAACTATTTAAGAAGCTATAAACATAATCATATAATTGTTCATCTAAAAGCAAAAAAAACAAAGATGTTAAAGAGCAAACGGTTTAAATAAAGATAATCATAGAGTTTACATGTAAGTGTTCATCCAAAAAAACAAAAACCACATAGTTGTCATTCTGTCAAAGGCTAAACATAGCAGAAAAACATAAGCCATAAACATAATTGTAGAGTTTAAATGGCACTAGCAAAAAAACAGTTTAAAGTTTTAAACCAACACAAATTCAAGACTTGATTAGCAGTTTAGCATAAGTGCAATGTGTTCCTAGGTCCTTTCATCTTCTTGACCAAACTGAAAATCAATCTCCATATTAATTTCTTTTGAATCAGATTCACAAAGTGATGTAATCTATATGGAATTATGGATAGTTTTAGACTTTAGAGTTTCACAAAGACTAAAGACTGTATGTGATGTAATCTATATGGAATTATGGATAGTTTTAGACTTTAGAGTTTCACAAAGACTAAAGATTTAGAGTTTAGAGTTTCACAAAGACTTAAGCTAAGTAGCTGTAGCCAAGTAGTTCTTATGGAATTTACATCATAAGAGGAAACAAATAGACAGATTGGTGAAACAAATAGGCAGGTTGGTGAAACAGTTTTTACACAAAAAGAGCTAAGTTGCAGGTTGTAAGACTTGTAACTATGAAGTAAAATTTTAAAAATTACGAGTAACTTCTAAAAACTATTAGCTAAATTGCAGGTTGTAAGTTGGGAATTAGGATAGTGTTAAACTCATGAAAAAATCACATGTTATCAAAACAGAAAATATGCAAAATATAAAACTCCATCGCTCCTGTTAGTCCGGTGAGGACTTTTTTTCAAACAGTAAATATGCAAAGTTTATCAAAGTTTTTTTTTAAAAAGATCACATGTAAAAACTAAAAAGACATCAAATGGTAAGTCAACCATAAACGTGTAAGTGTGTAACCAATAGGCCAATATCAGTTTTTGCACTTATTCCAGTCAAGCACGTCCTTAGGAGTTAGGTCGGTAAACACACAAATCAGAAATTCGATTTTTTCTTAGATGAAAAAAATGAAGAGAAGATATTACGTGTGAGGAGACACGACCAGCTTGTGAGAACTCCTGCGATGAAGAGTGATTGTGCCAGCAGCGAGGTAATCGAAGAGGAAGAAGTCACCGTCAAAGAGAAGAAGAGGCGTTGAGATGAAGAAGAAAAGTGTGAAATTGAAAGTCATTTGTCTGTGAAACAAAGTGATGGGCCGCCTAGCCCAGTTCACCGATTTGGACGATTTACCCGCCTAGGCGGGTTAGGCGCCCGATTATTCGCTCGGCCGATTATGTAGTCCGATTATGTGTACTTCGCCTCAGTTGGTTAACGCCTAGCACCTAGGCGGCCGCCTAAGGCGATTTTTAGATCCATGCTCAAAATTATTGAAAAGACTAGCGGATACTCGCACAAGGCGCGAGAGCTTGTGCCAAATTTAAAGGGGAAAGTTCTTGAAATAGGACTAAAAAAGTTTGAAAATTCCAAAATAGGACTGCCATGATTTTTATTCCCAAAATAGGAGTAATTACTGTCAAGTTTGGAAAATACTGTCATGTTTGAAGTCTGGTACTGCCAAAACATGGCAGTAATTAGTCCTATTTTGAGAATAAAAACATGGTAGTCCTATTTTGGAATTTTCAAACATTTTTAGTCCTATTTTGGATATATTCTCAATTTAAAGTGTTTTTTCCTTTAAAAATGGTTATAAAATGTAAGATTGGTATATAGTTTACTAAATGTCCTATTTTTCACTTTACGTAAATAGTTTACGAAATGTCCTTTTTTAAATAAATTATTGTGTCAATATATTCATGGGGCGGATTTTGTCTGGAATATGCTTCTTGAGGGGAAGGTATATGGAACATTGGAGAACTGTGCACAAGCTAGGCATGTTTGAAATGAGTTGTATCTTATCTGTCTGGTTTAGCATTTCATCAAGCATAGTTATGCAGAGTTAGCATGTAAGCATGTTAGCATCATGTGACTTTAAAGATGAATGTCAACAACTTCACTAGACTTCACCAGCAAAGCCCCTGTTAGAACTTGTTACGAAAATTATTTACCAAAGGAACTTGTTAGCTAAACCTTTCATAAAAGTATAAACACGAGAAGTCCAGCAAGGCTAAATGGCTATAATCTAGCCATGCCCCTCGTTAGTTCTAGAAATACTATCTCTGTATTAAACATAGCTTTTAGCAAGCTATTAGTCATCATTTACAACTTTGCTTCGAGCCATAATAAAGTTTAATGATAAAAATATACAAAAGTACTAAACAATAACCCAGATTTGAATTCTTGAATATTAAAGTAAAAAAAAAATGAACATCATGGAAAAGGTTTATTCCAAAGTTGAGTTAATGTACAAACTCACACCATAAATTTGCGCCGCATAAATTACACTATTAGATAAAAAGTTGTTGTATACCAAATTTATAGAGCAAGGCTTAAATTTTTCTAAATATAGAACTTTAATGGCAGACATGATCCTGCCTTGACAATCAACCTTGTGGGGGAGATCCTATAGCTATATTTCCGCATATACAAACATGTGTACAACCAAATAAAAAATGTCATTTATAACACTATATAGTTCAGATTTAGCAGTTTAACCTATATCTCTGTGCCAGGACTACATTCCGTTATTACCAAATACCAAACCTCTAGGCTTATGTCCAAATGTTTGGCTTATATAACCTATTCAGTGAAAAGTCATATTTCTACTGTTTTTTCCAATCAATTTTTCTTGTTTTCCCCTTAGATAGCAATGTACAACATGTTATGCACACAGTGTATTGACACAAATCAGGAGTATCAACCCTCATTCACCATTATAATGTTGTTAGATAATTGTGTTAATGAAGTGAACTAAAATATAAATCATTTTTAGACACAAGGAGTATTCTAAATGTAATATACTCACAATTCAATAGACCCAATCGCATAGTTTCTACTTCCTTCCTCTCTTATAACTTTACCAAGTAGTCATTACATTGGGTGAAATTCTCACACTGCCTGACTGCCGTCACCACATATTGAACATGATATCTCAACTCAACTAACTCACTCAGCTACTCTTGAGCTACCGAAAACAAAAAACAATTTTACCAAACATTAGGAGGGGGGAGAGAGATGAACCACATTTTTTTATAAAAATGGAAAAATGAATTTATACTAAAATGGATGAAAAAGGAAAGAATAAATTTTGTTTTGGGACAAAGTAGTAATTCGTCCCAAAACAAATTTATTTATGAATTGAGTTATTACATTGTCTCTGGTATCACTCATTACTATCACTTATTTTTCATTAGTGGAAACAATTAAAATACCCCAAACTTTGAATGGGTGTGAGATAAATACCTCAAACTTTCATGTGTCATTTAAATACCCTAAACTTTATATAAAAAGTTATTTTAACACCATGATCATATATTATTTTTTTCATAAATATATATTTATGTTGTTAATTGAATAATTTAGAATAAAAAATTAAAAACACTCCAATTATATAGAGTGGGAGTAGTATTATTTATTTTACAATGGAAGTTTATAATGGTAATTGTATCTTCATGAATGCTAAAATATTTTAAATTATGAAATTAACACCAAAAACTAACATTTTTGAAAGAAATAATACATGACCATGGTGCTAAAATAACTTATTATATAAAGTTTAGGGTATTTAAATTACATATGCAAGTTTGGAGCGCTTATCTCACACCCCTTCAAAGTTTGAGGTATTTTAATTATTTTTCTCTTCATTAATTGAGTAATGCTACATTGCTAGATATCAAATGTTTTTCCTAAATATTACTAAAATAAAATTTGTTGACATAAATGTGAATAAAGTGACTATGAGTCTATGAGTACATTTTTATTATCACTGCAAAATTTGAATAGACCTCTACATCTAAAAAGGAATGATCATGTACATATGGATGTACAGGAGGCTCCGTACGGACAAAGCCATCAGATGTCCTTTCCGGTGGAATTTTTTGATGAAATATTTTGAGCATGTTTTTCATCAAGTCTAGTTTATCCATACCAAATTTCAGCTCAAAATTCGATCGGGGAAGTAGTCAAATAAATTCTTGAAACATATGGCGCATTCTGCGCACATATAATATGCAGTATATTTCAAGAATTTGTTTGACCGCCTTCCCGATTGAATTTTGAGCTGAAATTTGGTATGTATAAACTAGACTTGATAAAGAACATGCGCAAAATTTGTGTGGCTCCAAATTATTCTTACTTTATTCTTATTTTATCAATTCAATATCAATCACATAACTCACTTTTTATTAGTTTGCGTGTCACTCCCTCTTGTCCCATTGTTAGTGGGACGGAGGGAGTAATACATTAAAAAATTTCAAATAAGGAAAAAATATAAAAGTTCTCCACTAAAGTTGTTCTCGATGAGTCAACAATAGAGCCTGTATTTAGAAGTTTCATGAGAGAGAATGATCGCTCTCTATTTGATTTAACAATAGCTAAGATCAATACAAGGCGAATCAATCTGCTCTCCATAACATATGAATCAGATCTTCTGCTCTTAGTGAACTCCTCACATAATTCAACAAGTGTAGATACTTGAAATTTTGTATTAGGAATCACATCGATCGTGAACAGTGTTGCAGCTCAAATTCCAAAGCACGAATATCCCGACTAGTAAAATCTTCGGGATAGAATCTCCTTGCAGGAGTACAAATAATATCGACATTGAAGGACTCATTTGAGTTTTTAGGATCCGATGAAGCACTCAAAGAAAGGAGTTTCATTGATTTATCATTAAACTGGGTCCTTAACTCCATCAATACAAAGTATATTGCCTCGTTGAAAAAGTCAAAGTGATAAGGATGCTCAAATGTAGTTTGATTGGCGGACCTACATGGCTACACAGAGGCACATACAGATGTTGGCACTTGGGTCCTGGAGTGGTCGGCGACTCGGCACTCGACAGCGATTGAGTAGCTTTATCGAATTCGGCTGATGCAGATTCTTGCATTGCGGAAATCGCAATGTCGATGATGAAGAGTCAAAGGGCGAAGACTTGCTCGCTTCATCCCAGATGCGGGGCTATTAGCCTATTACTTTTCTTCATTTTTATTGAATTTGGACTAGTGGGCTACATAATCAATACTACTTCTAATTTTTTGAGCTTTCTATTTTTTGAGGTCTTATGCCATTGCACAGGCTGCCCCTCCCCTGGGTCGGTCCTATCGTGATGCGTATAACATTTGGATTAGATTTATTTTTAGATGACAAGATTTTGTTTTATGGGCTGACCTGAAAATTTGGACCGGAAATTAGAAAATTTTGGGGTGGGTTATAGAAAAATTTGGAGTGGGCTGGATGGAAATATTTAAAAATACTACCTTGGAAAAAATTTAATTTTTAACTTTACTCTGGATTTCAGCCCACCATAGCCCTAACATAGATCCTCCCCTGCTAATACGCCAATTGCCGAACCTCCCCTGCTAATACCCCAATTGCCGAACCTCCCCTGCTAATACGCCAATTGCCGAACACTCCTAGAATCCTTAAAAACCGCTTATTTTTCTTTCCATGTACAAGGATTCCCTTTATGCTGTAAAAGCTGGTTTTCAAACGGAATTATCTATCCCAACAAGTATTCATTTTGATTCATTGATTATTATTACCGGCCCAAAGATAACAGTTTGTTGAAACCTGAAATAATCCCAAAAAAATCTCTAACACATGGTTTTAAAAGCTGTATACCAATATAATGGAATAACAGATGAGCTCACAAGCAGCTCTGGTATCAAACAAAATTGATGGATCATAAAACAGTAACTAATTTTGTGTTGGATAAAAAGTAACTATTACTAGTGCATCATAAAAAATGTGGCTCAGTTACCAGATGCGGATCTAAAGGGCCAAAGCTACTGGATTGAGATTAGTCACTGGATTCACCCTGGTTATCAAAAAACAGAAAAGAGAAAACCAAAATAATAATTGACATTCAACTCCCCCCAGATTTCTCACATTCAAATATACATTGAGCATCTCAACTGTTGAATCAAAGCTTAAACAGATGATATTTGATATTGTGATTTAATTGTTCTGGTTTTGGTTTGACCGTTGAGATGAGTCCATTTTTCTGAGGTTTCAGCAGCAAAAGACAACCATCAGTCTTTTAATATACCCATAGATTCTACTGAAACTTGAAGAGTATTATCCTCCAGCAGATGACATTGATGCGGTGTACTTGTACTTGAGAAA